GAGAACTGGATGGACTGAAATAGCTCGAGCCAGTGATCCAGGAGTGCGTGCATAAATGATGCCTATTTTTAAACGCACACAATTCGTGTCCTCCTCCATGGTTTGCGCCTTGGGCTCCGATCAGTGGCGTGGCGTGCTTTGCGATAAATCGATTGTTATGCCATTTAAGCCTATGGAAAAGGATCGATAAACAGGGTGTTCGCAGCGAACACCTTAATAATCGATTCTTTACCATAGGTTTAAATGGCATAACAATCGATACATCGCAATTCACGCCACGCCACTGGTTGGGCTCCGATCCTCGTCCGCGGCCGGTGTCACCTCGATCTCGATCCCCCCAGCCGAGAGCCCAATCAACTGCCAAGACTGCTCTGTCGTGCTAAGGAAAAACGCCGTACGAGCCTTTAGGCGTTGCCAAATTTCCTTCAATAAAATGCGAATTTTTGAGGAGACTCTTTAACATTTTTCCTCCAATTTTTCAGTCAATTTCGTACATGATTTAATCTAAAATATCTGAAGATTACAAGAAAAAATATTCATAACTCTTCTTCAAAAATACATGTTTTATTCTGGAAAATTTGGCAATTCTCGAATATGCATACGGCCTTCTTCCTTAGTACGGCATAAGACTGCTCGAATGCTCGTAGAACAGAGGTTATGGTCTCTGTCCCCGCTTTCAACGTGTCTTTGCCCTGTTTCACCCTCTGCCGACAGATTCAGATTCGGTAGGAAAGGAAAGGGCCCGACCGTACAAAGTTTAGGGGCTAATATGATAAGATGCAATTAAGGCAAAAGGGCCCTTAAAGTGAAAAAAAATGAATAAGATAACTATACCACAGCTGGAGGGGTTAGATTTACATCGTTCGGCGGAAAGATCACCAAAAATTTGAACATTTAAACACAGTGAGAGCGTTTCAAAGTAAATGATTGGTTCGGCTGAAATGGATTTTTGGACAAAAATCGAGTTTTTTTTCACAAAAATTCGATTTTTTCTTAGAAATCCGCATTGCTACAAATCACGGCAACTAATGAAAGACTAATTGGACTGCATTTTGCAATTTGGAACTATAAATTCTGGCCCGGTTTAAAACAACATGTGTGCCATCAATTTCCCTATGCACATAAGTGTTTTTTCAGATGAGCCAGAATTTATAGTTCCAAATTGCAAAATGCAGTCCAATTAGTCCATCATTCCCCCTTAGTTTACAACGATCACCCTTTCCGAGTTTCAACCAATAGGATCACTCCATTTGCCCTGTGTCTCCTCTTTCTCAAACTTTATCTATAAATTTTAAAATTCAGCCTGCAGATGCAGATGAGTTTAACCCGATAAAGCTGCTGGATACCCAGTCTTGAACTGGAAACCTTTTTACCATTCAATTGAGAGTGCGGCCATTCAGTCGCAACCGAGGAGGCTCACAGGGGTCATACAACCGGGTGAGGGCCGAATTTCGGGTTGGATTAAAGTTTCACAGACTAGCGGAACAGTCGCTGTAAACGCGAGGTGCTCAGGTCTGGCCGACAGAGTTGTCATCTCTCCAGCTTCTCAGATGATAAAAGTGTGGCTAGACTTTAAAAAAGGAATATTCTCTTTCCTAAGTTTGAGACTCGATTATTTTAAGTGGCGTTTTCTGACTGAAACTTTAAAGCGGGCAGAATGGACACGGAAGTGTATGGATGTCAAGGGCGTCAACAAAATTATACACTGCAATTTCGCCTTAAATTTTTGAGGTAGGCCAGAAAGTATCCTCCGTGCGCTAATAGTTATCTACTTGAGTGTTTCCGTCTCTTCCCCCGTTTTCTTAGGTCCTAAACACCAATGTTTAAATGGACTACATTTTGCAATTTGTAACTATAAATTCTAGCCAGGTTCAAAAACAACGTATGTGTCATTAGTTTCCCTCACTGGAAACAAAAACACATTGGATCTAGAGACTAGACTCTTAAAAACATTGACAAGAAAAAGGACTCTTGATTCAATCAGATTTAAGCTTAAATCAAAAGGAAATCCGCTCAAATTAAGAGGCTTTGTTCTTGATTTAAGCTTAAATCTAATTGAATCAAGAGTCCTTTTTCTTGTCAATGTTTTCAAGAGTCTGGACTCTAGATCCAATGCGTTTTTGTTTTCCAGTGCTATGCACATAAGTGTTTTTCCAGAAAAGCCAGAATTTATAGTTCCAAATTACAAAATGCAGTCCAAATATACAAATTTATGAATAAAATGTGAAAACGTTTCTCAATTATTATCAATTCATCAATCATAGAGAAACACCTCTTCAATATTTATTGAAAATGTCTTTGCGTTTTCTTCACCCTGTCACACTTGCTCCGTAAAAATAAAGTCAAATGTTCCTTTGCTTTTCTATAAGAGAGGATGTGAACGAAAATTCTGAAACACTGTAATTGACTTACGAGATTCCAGACTTTCGCCGTCGAAAAATCAAATACGCGCTTTTACCGAAGAAGCCGAAATAAAAACGACTCTTACACCTCCTTCAGGCGTCTCCCGGCTCAACCTAAACAGGCAACCGTGTCTGAAGCGGGAAAAGCCGGAAAATGGTCGCCACCCCATTCCCACAGATATTAGCCACGTGTTAAGCGCTAAATGTAAACACGAAGCATACACGGCTTCCGGCCCGCCCCTCCCCCTCACGGGAAAAGTAAATTTGCATTACACCTTAACACCTGAGTTTAATTTTTAATAATCTTTGCATTACACCTTATCCTCCTCTCAAGGCTCGTCCACGCTGCGCCTCAAGCCTCGAGCGCTTGAGGGTTGCGGCGATACAGTCCCCCGTTGAAGATGCACGGGATTTGCGGAAGCCACTGAGATCAATGATGCGGGGGATGATTTTCCACTTAAACGCTGTTTACACGAAAAATNGGGGGGGGGGGGGTATCAGTGGAGTGGCGACCCGGAAACTGAGATGAACTTATTGCTGGGCGAGAGTGACTATCGTGGCGTTCCTTGCTGGGACACAGTGGAAGTAGCAAGGCTACTGCTCGCAACAAAGCGTGCTCACAATCCACTCATAATGCACTGGGAAAAAAAACACATGGAATCTAGAGGCCAGACTCTTAATAACATCGAAAAGAAAAATAATCATGATTCAATCGGATTTATGCTTAAATCAAGAACCAAGCCTCTTAATTTGAGCGGATTTCCTTTTGATTTAAGCAAAAATCTGATTGAATCAAGAGTATTTTTTCTTGTCAATGTTTTCAAGAGTCTGGACTCTAGATCCCATGTGTTTTTTTTCCAGTGAAGCGTGCTCTCGATCCACTCATAATGTCATCATGGTTTTTGAAGGTGCACTCGACAGAGGGGGGGAGAGAGAGGGGGAGAGAGAGAGAGAGAGAGAGACACTTAATTCGGAGAGCAAGACTACAACTGCGCGCAACTATTCGTGCTCCGAGGCCACTCATATTGCCGTCGCAGTTATTGAAGGCGAACTCGATAGAGAGAGGGACACGTAATAAGGAGAGCAAGACTACAATTGCGCGCAACTATTCGTGCTCCGAAGCCGCGCATATTGCCATCACGGTTATTGAAGGCGAACTCGATAGAATGACACATAATAAGGAGAGGAATTTATGCGTTTTCCTTTTAAATTACCGGGACTCGGCAAGACTACTGCGCGCAACTAATCGCGCTCTCAAGCCACTCATATTGCCATCACGGGTTTGAAGGCGAACTCGAGAGAATGAGAGACGCATAATGAGGAGAAGAATTGATATGTTCTCCTTGCCGGGATTAGGCAAAAGAGGAACGACGATTGCGCGCAACTATTCGTGCTCCTGAGCAGCTCATATTGCCTGTGCAGTTATTGAAGGCGTTTACCGGCGGTTTAACTCAGGAAAAAATTCGTCAGTTTGGATAAACTCATCTCATGGTATACTTCGTGAGAACGATTAACTCCAGAGCTCATTTTAATACTTTCGAGTTTAAAGTTCATTCATATCAGGACCTAAACCTTGAGTGCGCTTTCCTTCGCGCGAACGTTACGTAGTCTTTAAGATTGAATGTGATATAAGTTACTTAACTGGGATTGAGATAAAGCATTTTTAAACACTTAAAAATGTCACATGAAACATGATTTGTGCCACAAATGGCTAAAGCTCTTCAGTCACTTAGAAGTCACTTCTTCTAATAATAATTAAATGATTAATGAAAATTGATTGATGATTTTGAAGAAGCATTGTTTCACAGTAAATTTTATCGCACGAAGAAAACAGAAAAAAGGGGGAAGCTCAATCGTCAACGGTCTTAACTCAAAAAGTGATTTTCAAACTTTTAATTTTATGACTCCTTTTATGAAATATAAATCGATTCAGATCTTGTGGAATAGCATGAGAGTTTCACCTCCTAGGTCTGTTACCTTCCTCATTCTGTGAGGAAGACTATTTGCAACCGTTACGAAGGAATAGAGCCTTCGAAGAAAGAAAGAACATCGACAGATCTGTGAGTAACAAAATCTCCCTTTCGAAGATGAAGACTTTGATAATCATCCAACCTGAAATTCAACGTTGAACGCTCAAAGTTACTTGAAGCTAAAGAGAAGCAACGTGGGAAGATTTAATGTTCTGTACACATTTATTAAGGACCTCATAAAATCTCTTCCACTCCTTGAGTGGCTTTTCGTGGCTTCATACACTTCACCGGGCTCTTAATTAAAAATACCCCCGGAGCAATAAAAACGTATTGAAGCAGACGGAACGACTCAGTATTTTCAGTGCATGCTTTCCTTGAACGAAAATGGATAGACAAAACACGATTAATACGGTTTTTTCTGACAGGATAGAGAGATCTTTCAAGTCGTGAAAAAGTCGACGCATACGTCGAACAGTCATCGACAGGAAAGGTCATCAGGCTCAAGCATTAAATGAAAATTCTACGATTAGCAAAACTGGCCTGTTATCTCACTGTGTGTGGCAGATTTCTTCAATGCATGGAATATCCCAAAAAAACCAAGAGAAGAAAAAAAGGTTAAAAATCTTACCTATTCCAGCAGATGTTGGGGTTCCAAATGTTAGCAGAAGAAAGAGAGAGCAGAGAATGTAGCAAGTTAACATGACTTTCTTTCCGTTTCAAATCACGATTGAATTCATCTCAGCATCCAGTGCTGATTGATCACCTGCGACACTTTAGAAAACACCGCACAACCGGTTATCGCGTGCGAGGGACCGAGTAACTCTTTGCAATTTTCATCACAAAACCGTACTTTCGTCATTGTATCACTAAAATCCCGTAACCATCAATATAAATAACACCTCGCGAAAGAAAAATTGCGCCACACGCGAAAAAATGCGAGATGGAAAGCAACCCACCTTGCTTATTATTTTTTTCTTTTAGAGCATGATGTACTCATTCAATGAATTTTTAACTTGAATGCAGTCTCAAGGAATTGTAAAATTGCACACGGTTATCAGGTCAAGTTATTTTCGCGCATTTTCCAGATCGCGAATGCTAAAACATCAAGGTTGAATATTACTGAACTACGCGTTACTGTATACCGACTCAACGCGAGACACGTCTGTTCAAACGAGGAAATCCGAGTGATCACTTCTGCATCGCTCTCAGGGCCTGCAACAAACAAGAAAAACAAATGCATGGTCAATTCGAGCGAAAAATAAAATTAGTTGATTCTAAGTATGTGATTGCAGCTCCGAAAATCAGATACTCGTTTTAACTTTGTCACACTGAATTATACTCACCAACTATCCACCGTGTGGTGAATATTAATTTCTGTTTTCTGATAGTATTTGACTTGATATTATTTATTCATTTTTTTCAAAGGCATATTGTAAGACATCTTAGAGTAAAACCCGAAGTTAAATTCACTTTCGTAACCTATCCCCCCTCCCCCTCAACTCGAGCTATAAGAACAAGGCGTGAACTCCGCTCCTTAGATGGTGCTCACTCCATAAACAGATTAGATTCCGCTTCGTATTTGTATCATATCGCTTTTTGGAGCGCAATACAGGATCCTGAGTGAGATGCACCCCGGATTTTATCCCTATATTTTTAACAGCTTCAACTCTGACTTTTTCGCGTGGTCTCGTGTGAAGTTTCCGAAAAAGCGGTCAGCATGTTGAACCAATCGGTCCTTCGACTTGACGGAGGTCTTGGGAAAATTGGCAGCAGCGTAACAAGGAGGGCTGCCGACGATTGATTTATCGAACTCATATATTTTGGCCCAGTCGGCCGTGAACCAGACTCATGATTTGGCTGACCGCATCCCCCGGCCCGTGCCTAACTCCCTTAATTACCTGAGCGACTCTCCAGGCAACCCCATCTGGGCGACTACGTGTCAATTAAAACTGCCCCAAAATCAGGGCAACGGCGTGCAGCCTCCCTCATTTTACACACAGCGTCCACCTCCTCCTCAACATCGCTGAATCAACCCCTATCTTCATCATTCGCGAAAATAGGTCAATGGATCCGTTACGCGTAACACGGAAACGGGATCGTTGGCAACAGTGTTTCATTCACTCCATTTAAATCCGGTAGAAATAATAAAATTCTGAGTGAAGCACCTTGACTTAAAAAAAAAATCGATTGTTTTACGTGCGTTTGACTGAGAAAAGCCCAAAGCTGATAACTTTGAGTCGCTATTGGCTACAGCTGAGCCGTTCAGCCTGAGAACTAATAGTTGCCCCGTATGGAGTTTGTCACGTTAGAAAGGCGCACATTTTCTTAATGAAATAGTACCTCGGTTTACGGTGAAAATCGAAGCGTCGACTTTTCGCTATAAATCGAAACGTAAAATTCTATGAGGTGCGATAATTATTGCGAAAAGTTGATTTTATCGTAAATGTTCTACTTTTAGTAGACAAAATTATCAAAGCTGTTACAATCAGAGACAAATCCAAACACTTCGAACGCGAGGACCTTCCCGAGGAAATTGTCAAAGTTTTAAGACATTTGGTATTCAGTTTGAGTCAATTTCGTAATGAATAATTACCAAATACGAGCGTCATTCCTCCTTCTTTCCGCCGTCTCTTTCTTTTCTCTTTCGCTTTCCTCTTTCTTTCTCCTTAATTTCGGGCGTACCCCGGGGGGGGGGGGGAGACGAACACCCCCCAGCTCCTCCTCGGATCCGCCAATGCCATAACATTCTCCGATAGAAAAAAAATCTAGCACACTTTTCGCGCTTTGATCTTATATGGTCAAAAGGCTTTCAATACATATTCAAAAACTATTTTCGACTGCATGACACTTTGACCCATCCGCCCGCCTCCTTCTAGTTTTCTAAAACCAGTGGAAGAAAAATAATTTCACTTTTAAAGGCAAAAATGCGTCCTCTACGCACACAAGAGTGATCTCAGGGATCGGCGGGAAAGAGGGGTGAGGGTAAAAATTCTCATTTTCCGTTCAAGCTCTTCGAAGGGAAAGTTAGAACACCAGCTGTCAATATTACAGCACGAGCCACGATAATCGTCTGCTAGAATACGCCTGAGAATTCTTCCGCCCGACGCTGTCCAAACAGCGAATGTGATTAATTCAAATTTAGCGGCGCGAAAGCCCGCTACTCCCAGTAAGGGAGGGGAGAGGGAACGACGCGCGCGAAATCTACAACTCCTAATTTTAGAATAATTAATAAGTAGTGGTAATGTGCAGGACAAAAACCGCACCCTGTTTCGCATTGAAGAGGCGCAGACGGAGCGGGGAGTCTGCTCATCACGCATTTTAGCGGAGAAGCCGAGAAGGGAGACGGGGCGCTGCCCCCCTAAATGAAAACCGCGTAACCGCGGTGAGACCCCTGAGGATGTATGCGGTTCTTTCCTCCGCGCTGCAGAGCTATCGCCTCGCCTCTGTTTTTGATTTAAAACGAGATTAATCGAAATGATCAAAATAACTGAGTTTCCGGGCCGGTGTTATGAAGCGCAGATATCATTCCGGCTAATATCATCCATCCAGGGTTGCCATTGCGTGAATCATTTGCCCAGGACGCGGGGTAGAAAATGCGAATTTTGTGGGGGACTGTTGGTCCCGGTTGAGACAAATTATTTTGAAAATATTTTAAAAGTAGTGACGGAATTTTTCCCGTATTGTTGGGGGAAAATTTTAAAAAAATAGATACGTATTTTGACGAGATTTTATAGAGAAATCTTCGAGACCGGTAAGGTAAGTGCTTTCAAAATATTTTTGTGATGTTAGTCAAAATATTCACATTGAAATGTTTGCAAAATATTATAGCAATGACCACATGTATCTCGAAAGAAAATCTGGCGATATTTTGTAAATATTCTGACATCATCTGAACAAGGTCCGAATATTCTTCAGGAACAATCTTGGTAGCGTTTTGAAAGCATTTGGCAATACTTTACAACATTTCGTAAGATATATTTCTGGAGAAAAAATCTAATCGAAGAATAGTTTAGTTCTTATTGAAATAACACCGACGAATAGGCTACGCCGCGATTCTTCACTACGTCAATACGGATAATTGCACTAATTACAACGAAAAACGTGCCAATTTCTTGTCGCACTGAAGAAATTGCTCGCTGCGTGAAGAAAACTACTCTCTACACTGGAAAAAATGTAGATGTGATGACAAAAAAGCATCAACACTGGAACTCGTACAGTATAATTGAGTGGTTTGGAGGACAAGGCGCATAACGTCAACTTTTGTTATTCCGAGAGATGAATGTTTAAAATTTCAAAATTACATGGATCCTGGAAAGAAATTTACAATTGAATTTTTGATGCTTAAAAATTGGATTTCGGAACTGAATTTTTCACAGAAGTCTAGCTTTGGATGAAAAAATCAGTACCTCAACTTTATCAAAAACTGCACTTATGCGCCTTGTCCTCCAAGCCCCTCAATTTTAAATTATCAACAACTCCGTGAGATTCTCAATGCATAGCTTTTTTTCCGCTCAACCTTGCAGCGTGGAGGGAAAAAGACTTGCCGGAAAGCACCCAGCAGAACGAACTTTGTAGTGAGAGGTTTGAAGTGGGATAGGATTTACCGGTAATGAGTTTTGCTATCAGTTGATATAGCTACATATTTACCGAGGGTTGGTGTAATGCCCTCGATATTTTCGGACTCCAATGGAAGCCGGTCCATTTGCACAATATTTACTCCAGAGAGTATCCAATATCGACTTTTGATATTTTCAACTTATTAACGCAGAGCTCCGAGTTGGTGTATCATTGAGTGCCGTTACTGTTATGCTGATATGAGAGCACCTACTGCCAGTTTTCGGTCTTTCATACATTGACGATGAGAGACAAAAACACTTTCTCGACTTGCAACGTTGCAGATTTCCTAGTAAATCGCATTCTTACAGAGGAACAGGGATCGTTGTTATTTTTGAACGATTTTGGCCTGAAGAGGTCTCAAAACGTCGTTTCATTCACGAAAGAACGTAACTACATCGCAATGTTGCCAAATGTCTCCTCGCAAATAGCCATTTTACCAGAAGAATCGTGGGCATTTTTAACTGAAGATTTTACTGTTTTTTCCTTTGATATCGTGGAAAAACCAGAAAAATGTTAAACAAAAATTGCACGGGCACTTTCATGTAAAAAAATTAAATTTTTCCAGTCAACTTGGAATAGAAATAAGTTCCTTCGTCTGAGAAACGACGAAAGAAAAAAAGCTCCTTTCCTCGAAGAAAGCTCCTTTCGCTCCTTCCTAGAAAAATTCCCGAGCGATAGCTCGGGAATTTTCTAGCGGATGTGAATCGACTTTCGGCGTGTTAATAGATCGATAAAATTCTTAATCGAACTACAACCACACAAATCCTCGCACCTTGTAACAGGCCCATTTCTTTAACGCATATAACCCCCTCTCCCCAAATAAGCTTATCGAGTGTGTGAAAAACACGATTCCAAAAAATGTTAGTTACAACCCTTTTGCGATAAGCCACTGGCATATCTCAGAATGAAACATCTCTCGGAAGAAGAATCCTACACTGACACTTGCCCCGGTGCCTCCATTAGTATGCCCAATTTTTGCGCTCGACGCTGACACGGCTCCTGTTTGAGTGACAAGGAAGAGAGGAACGGGGCTGATAGCGCAAAGGTACGCGGAAAGGGAAGAAAAGCAAAGAGCGGCGCGGCGGAGGCTCAAATGAACAGAGAGACGATGAAACGAAGAAATAGGGATGTACTTCCTAATCGCGTGTCGCGGACTCCATCCACCGTTGCCGAAACCCATCCGATCGTTTCCGCACCTAGCTGATCTTAGTGTGGATTTAGGGGAAGTTTTGCAACGGCGCATGCATTTCCTCCGGCTTCCTTCGTTGTTTATTAATGGCCCTTGACGAGGAAAAACGAGCGCGAGACGGACAAACGGCCCGCTGGATGTGCGAATCACTCTCGCCAACCGTTCCGATCCGCGTTTTTTCGACGGGGTTTTCTGATCTACAATTTGTCTTCGAAGTCTCCGGAATGTTAAGTGCTTCAGGAACGGCTTCGAGAGTTGCGATTCCACCCGGAATCCGAATTTTTAGCCTACTCGGACTCGCGCTGTAAAAAATGAAGGATCGTTTCGAGAAAAGAGCGCACATCCAGCGTTACAGCTGGACGGTAACACCATCTCGGGTCCTGCGGGCTGATTCGCTGGAAAAAAG